GGGGATCCTCAGCTCCTACCGTGCCTTCGCCTGTCCATTCCCCATGACCCCCACCTCCTGACCCTAGAGCTCTCCCAGGCTCAAGCTCTGCAGGCTCCAGGGCAAGGGAGTCCCAGTCCTCTACACCTTGCCAGAAGCTCCAAGGTGCCTGTCTGGACTCTCCCAACACCACTGGGGGCACTGACACCAGATAGACCAGCTGCAGCAGGCAGAGTGGGCACTCACCCAGGCAGGCTGGGTCAGGCCCAGCCCCCACCGCCTGCCCTGCAGCCTTCACACCGCCCACAGGCAGGTGGCTTCAGAGACCAGAACTCTTGGCCCAGAGATAGAGAGACCAGGGCCACTGCCAGGCAGATCAGCTAAGTGCCAAGTCTAGCCAGGCCTGGAATCAGCAAGGCAGCCCTAGTAGCAGAGGGACTCCAATCTCTGCCTCACAGTCTAAACACTGGGGTCAGACTCCTCCCTGCACCACTGCCTTCCAAAGCCAGAGTGTGGGACAGCTCTGGGCCAGCCTACCATAGGCCCGGCTTTGCTGTGACCTGCATGGAGAAAGTGGGAGGTAGGCACAGAACCCCCCCCAACTTGGCCAAAAACAGGAGTGGGACCCAACCCAGAGCAGGTGACTGTGGCCATACCTCAGACTCCCCTCTTTCCTTGCTAGATGGCCAACTATAGCCAGGCACAGAGGCTTGGGCAACTCAAGGTCCAGCCCACAGCAGGACAGTAGGGGCAGGGGGCCCAGGCACATCAGGGTGTTCCTCAGAGCCCCCGATCTGAGCCCCCTCTCATGGTGGGGCCACTGCCCCAGCCCATCCAGGGTTGCCAAGAACATGCTCTTCCTCTCTGCCTCTCTGCAGCGATGGTGGTGAGCGAGAGAGTCTAATTGTCCCAACTTCCCTCAGTTCCCTGAGAGCTGTAGAATGGCCCCAGCTTGACCTGACCTAGGGCTGCCTAGGGTCCATGCAAACCAGAGAATCCAGGAAATGGCCTCAATGTCAAAGTCCCGAGACACAGTCACACACAAGGACACAGGCTGCCTGAGGGCGGTCAGGCACACCTGCTCAGCCCACATGAGGCCTCTGAGTACCCCGCCCCCAGCACTGCTGAGCTGGGGATTCAAGTTACCCCTGGCAGTGCTTGGTCAGGCCTCAGACAGCCAGCCTCCTCCTTACAGTCCCAGAGTCCCAGCCCAGTGCAAGTGGGAAGTCCCCTCAGCCACCACAGCCACCACTGAGGCTGGACGTGGGGACACTGACCCAGAGGCTGCCCAGAGTCAGCAGATGGCCCAGGCTGCTCCCCGGAACCCAAGTACTGGACAGCACCCCTTAGGTGGGGGCGGGGGAGGGACGACCTGTGGTCCCCAGTGATCCTTGATCTCTGCCCTAACCCTCAGGACCCTGGAGGAGGGATTTAGAGACAGGCTGTCTTGAGCCTCTCCTCTGGAAACTTCTGTGCTGGTGGTAGATCACCTCATTCCCCCCAGGCTAACTACAGTGGACCAGGGGGCAGTGCTAGGACCCTTCCCTTACACCCTTCGGACGCCAGCCCCAGGAATCACAAGCCCTCCACAGGAGGAGGCAGTGCCACCCCGAGTCTGACAGGTGCCAAGGTGGGACCTCAGCTCACCCTGGGCCACTGAGCCACACAGGCCCAGGCCCAGAGTGGGCGCAGAGACGAGGGCCGTGCCTCCCCACTGTCCTGGTTCTTAGGCTCCCGGGCGGGCAGCCAGGGCCCCGCGCCCTGACCCCCGCGCGTCCCCAGCTCAGGCAACAGCTCAGGACACAGCCAGGTGGGGCGCACGGCACCCCGGGAGACCGAGGCACCGCCGAGCCCCGGGCCGGGCACGGACAGGTGCGGACACCCGCGCTCGCGCACAGGCCCCCCGCGGCCCACTGACCCGAAGTCCTGGTCCATGGACTTGAAGAAGAATTTGTAAGCGTGCACCGGCCGGTTGCTGAGCACATTCTTGAAGTCGGCCAGCGTGACGCGCTCCGGCGCCACGGGCAGCTTGACCAGGTACGGCGTCTCCTCCTCATCCATGTGATAGATGATCTTGGTCTCCGCCATGGCGCGGCAGCGGCGCGGGGCCCACCTCCCGGCCCGGCCCGGGGCTCGGACGCCGGCGCTTCCCCGCTGCCGGCCTGCGCCCCGCCCGCCCGCCCGCCGCCAGCCGCCGCCGCTCCCGGCCCGGCCGCTCCCAGGCCCCCGGTGCCCCGCCCGGCCGCCCCGGCCCCGGCCCCGCCCGCCCCGCCGGCCCTGGCTCTGCTCGCGCCCCAGCTACTGCCCCGCGGCCCGCGGCCGCCCATCCGCCCCGGCCTGGAGACGCAGGCAGGGAGGGCGTGAGGCCCGGCCGCGTCCCTGTGCCCCGCCGCCGCCGCCGCCGCCCCCTCGGGCCGCGCAGTTAAAGGGACCGCCGGCCCCAAGCTCAGCGCGCCCGCCGGGGGGCGCCCGAGAGCGGGCGGGGCCTGACGTCACCCGGCGGCCCGCGGCGCGGGGCGGAGCGGCGCAGGCGCGGAAGGGCCGGAGGGCGGGGCGCGCGTGGGGGCGGGAGGACCGCGGAGTCCGTGTCCGCGCACAGCCCTTTCCTCTGTACCCTGCCGCGATCGGGACCCTCCTCTCGGGCCCGGGGTCCACGGCCCGGCTGGCGACAGGGCGCCCACTGTGTGCTCGGGCCGCAGCCCCCGCTGGGCCTAGGGTCTCGGCCGGCCGGACAGGGGCTCGTCCCTCGGGGGGGGCCCAGACAACGCCAGGTTTCCCGCGGGGACCCGCAGGGTTGACCGCAGAACCCAGACCTCCGACCTTTGCGAGGGGCGCGGAAAGTCGGGGGACGCCCTGGTCGCATCGGCGGGCAGCAGGGGGCAGCTCGGGAGGTTAGGGTACTTAGAGCCTGGCGGGGGGGCTGGAGACAACTCGGTCTCTGCGCCCTGGCGCCCACTGCGGGTCCCACGGAGGCTCCGAGGAACACGGGCCAGGTGGTCGCGGCGGCTCGCGGGTGCTCGCGTGGACATGTGTATGGGCGGCTGAAGGCACAGCGGAGGTCACCCTGGCAACGGTGCACACGCAAGGTGCACAGAAGTGCCCAGACAAGGTGCACCTGGCAGCAGGTGAAGAGATCCCCCCACCCCAGCCCGGGGTCCTCTGTGGACCAGGGGAAACCCGAGCAGCGCCCCTGGAGCTGTGGAGGGTCCAGCCACAACTGCTACCACTGGACGTAGGTCTTCCTCACCCCAGGAAGAAGACTTGAGGCCACTAGAGGGAGTCCCACACTGATGAGCCTGAGGAACATGAGCGTCCATAGGATAGGACCCAAGAGTGATGATGCTGGGGGATGCATGATGCCCCTTGCAACGTGTCCCCAGCACTCCCCTTGAGGCTGGCTGGAGCCTGGGGCTCTCCCAGCTGCCTGGTCTGACCATCCTTGGGTGGTGGATCAGCAGAGGAAAAAGCCCATCAGTCCACCACTGTGACTGGAGGATACAGACTTTGAAAGTCCCTGAGCCCAGGCTAAGGCCCACCCCCAGGTCAGCCCAGGCCAAAGGTGCTGACCATGATCCTCCTAGGCTCTGATAGAGTGGGCAGGGCTGTGTGAGGTTGGCACCCACTAGCAAAGCCTATGCCTTCTCCCTTTGGGTCTCAGTTTCCCCAGAAGTAATCTGAGGAAGCCAGGCAGTATGGCCTTGGAGGAAGGGTCTCCCATGACTCTCTGCTGCATGTCCAGGGGAGGGAGGCAGTCCCCACGCTGAGAGCTCACAGGGGACCAGCATGCCCCAGGCCAGACGTAAATGACTGCTAGTCTCACAGATGCAGGGGATCTGATGCCCCACCTTTACTTTGCTCCCCCCCCACACACACAAGCCCCTCTTTCTCACCTGACTGCCCAAGTCATATGAGAGAGTCTGGCAGCCAGAGGCTAGCAACCAGTACCAGACCTGACTGATGGGGTCAGGCTGGCACACTGCAAGGAGGGATGAGTTTGTGGCCAGAGCAGTGCAGCTACTGTGGGCCCAGGGGTCACTGGGCTGGGAGGGAGGCACATTGTCAAACACGCCACAGCTCCTTGGCCCAGCCTCCCTCCCAGCCTTCACCACAGCAGGACCCTTGCAAGTGTGTGGTGAGGAGACAGCCACTCCAAGGTACTGAGCATTTTACGGAGTTCACACCTGGAGTCTGGAAGTTTACATAAGAGCCCGAGCCTAGAATGCCCACCTCAAACTCCTGCCATGTTTCCTGGGGTATTTTTTCAAATGACCACTCAGAATTGAGCCTGCAAAAAAATTAGTGACCACCACCCCAACCACCTTATAAGTAATAGATGTATGCTACCCTGATATCTCTGCTGATCTGGGATGGAGGATGGCCCTTCTAAAGCCTTGCTCACTGCACCCCTATTCTGGGATCTATAAGTAACAAATCTTTTGACTTTACTTCCTGGTGAGGTGCTGAAACTGTGCATTCCTCAAAGTGGCCCTGGTGTTTCCCCTGCCCCAGAGTGGGAGCTCGGATGCCAAGTTACCTGCTGACCCTGTGTGGGTGGCTTATGCCCCTAATTTAATCAGGCATAATCTGCATATTCTTAACACCACCTCTGGGTTTCCAGCAGGGGGTGACAGACATCCTTTCCAGCCTCCTACTATCCTGGGAGAGTTTTGGAGGATGGGGTGCTTCCTCCTGCAGCCCTCTCCACTCCTCCTCACAAGGGTCCTGCCTTTGGCACCTACTCCTGTTTCCCTCCTCTTTATCCTCACACAACTAATCCCATGTTGGCATCTGCTTCTCAGAGGGCTGTCCTCCTCCATGTCCAAATAAGCCCTCAGAAGAGAATCTGGAACTTTCACAACCAGGAATAGTGCCATAGGATTCCCAGGATACCTGGACTCAGACCTTCCACCCAAAGAAATGGGCAGTGACAGCAGGGCTTCAGATGAAGGAAAGCATTTCGAGGTTTCCAAGGCCCAGACTCTGCCCCCTAGGGCATGAAGTAGGAGCCACAGAGGCAGACCTAAAAATTATGTGGTCTTTATTGTGATGATGGTAGTTTCCCAGGAGGAGCAAATGTGGGGCATTGGGGGTGGCAGCACAAGCCACTCTAGAACCACTTTTACCCCTCCCCTGTCCTCAGCCAAAACAGAAACCAAATGAGGTCCCAGCCCCAGACTACAGCCCAAGAAGGGGCTGTGGGAGGGGGGTCAGAGTCAGAAGTCACATGGAGCCCAGTGACTGTCAAGGCACTTGCTGGAAATAAAGCTGGAATAGAGTGGAAGACAGAGAAAAAGCCTAGGGCAGCCCCAAGTAGCCCCAATACAGAGCAGAGGGGAATTAGCCTGGGGCCTGGAGTGTGCAATCCCCAGGTCCTAGCTGTAGGCTCCCCCTAGAAAGGGGTGAAGAAGGGGCCAGGGTGCCAGCCCTGAGGCTGACCTGAACTCCAAGAGTCCCCACTGAGCACCAGCTCACAGCGGCAGGGGCCAGGAGAGCCTGAAGGATTGGGGAACATCAGCAGGGTTAGGGTTGTGCCAGGGGGGTGGGCAGGACCACCAGTGAGTATGGGAGCCGGCAACGGCCTGCTAAGAGCTGGTGAAGGGGCAGCTGCGGCTCCAGCAGAATCCCAACAAGCCCGTTGCTGCTTGTGAGGATTAGGATAGCTCTCAGGAAAGGGGTCTGGAGGCAGCCTCACTCTGTACCAGTCCAGGCCAAGTTCCAGGACAGCGGGACCAGCCGCTGGAAGGGGGTCGGGTGAGCCACATGAGGGTCAGGAGGTCATCCTCCAAGATAGACAGACAGGAGTTGGCAGGGCTGCTGGCCCAGCCAGGAGCCCAGGGTCACCTTATTTGCAGTACTCCTTCCTGAACACTGGAAGCCAAGGAAACAGGTGGACATCTGTCACAAGGGCAAACACAAGGCAGACATCCAGCAGGACGGCCCAGGGACCTCTGCCCCTGGGGCTGGCTTAGTGAGTGTGGATGGGGTGAGGTATGCCACTCACCTTTGTCCAAGTCAATGTTCTTGGTGGGCAGTGGGCTGTGGCCCAGCTCAGCCCTCTCCTTGAGGATGTTGTTTTTGTAATCTGGTGCAGGGAAAGAGCAGGGTGAGGCTCCCCCACCCAGAGATGTACCTTCCCTAGCTCAGGCCTGGGAGCCACAGTCTGCTCCTTGGTTCTGGGGCCCTCCCTCACCTAGCTGGATGTCCTCACTTCTGTAAACAGCCTGGTCGCCTGTAGCCACAGCAAACTCTGCCAAATTAACATCTTTCCTGGAGACAGGAGGGTGATTGGTGGTTAGAGCAGAGAGTGGGCTGGGAGGGGGGGGGGTGATCTGGTCCCCAGGAGAGCCTGGAGGACCTACTCACCCCTTTGACTTCCCCGACTTCTTGTCCGAGTACTCGTACCCTGGGGAGGAAAAGTCATGTCGGGGGTGGTCTCACCCCCCTCCCCAGCTCCCGCCCCTGCTCACCCTTTGCTCAGGCCACCACATCCCACACCCTGCCTCTGGTCAGGGGAGGCTTCCTAGCGCTGGCCTCAACCCTGCAAGATGGAGGCCCCCTCACCTCCGCGGCGGCGCTGGCGGGTGGCCAGGATGACAGTGATGAGCAGGAGAATGAAGAGGAGCAGGGTGGCCAACACATAGCCCAGCTGCTGGAAGAAGTGGGCGCGGCCCTCGGGGACGATGACGTTGATGACGCTGCGGCCGCGCGGCAGGGTGGAATCTGCACGGGCCCAGCGGGGGCGGCGTCAGGGAGCGCGCAGCGCCCCCCACCCAGCGGGCACCCGACCCAGGCCGCCCCTCTGCGCGGGTCTGGGGAGAAAGGTGCGGCTCTTGGCGCCTCCCCTCGGCTAACACCCGGGGCCATGGCGGGGGGGAGGGGCGGGGAGGGGCGCACGGTACCTGGGCCGGGGGCGCTGCTGTGGCTGGAACCGTTGCCGGGCGAGTCCCGCGGGGGCGGCTCAGCGACTGGCTCGGTGACCCTCAGGTGAAAGATGCGGCGCTCGTGCAGGCCGCAGTAGTGGTGGTGCAGGTGGCAGGAGTAGGTGCCCTCATCAGCGGGCTCCAACGGGTCGATGCGCAGGGAGAAGTCGCCGCGCGCAAACGCGTCCACCCCCACCGCCACGCGGTCGCGCAGGAAGGGCGGCCCGTAGGCCCGGCGCTCACCCGAGGCATACAGGTCCAGCAGGCGGTCAGCGCGGTCGTGCGGCACACCGGGCGGCTGTCGGTCCCAGTGCACGACCTGCTGCGCCTCCTCCAGATGCCGGTCGGTCCAGACGTGCGCCCGGTTCACGCAGGTTAGCAGCGCGGGCGCGCCGCGTTCTACCACCAGCACCTCCTTCTCGCCGTCCCAGTGCGCGCCAGCCTCCTGGGCTGGGGGTGCAGGCCGGTCAGCACCCGGTGGGCGGGCCGGGAGCCAGCGGGGACACGTCCCGGGGGCGGGAGGGGGGCGCACTCACGGTTGTCCGTGACCTCCAGGCGGACGGCCAGGGTCTCGTAGAGGTGGCAGTAATGGTGGTGCAGGTTACAGGTGTACAGCCCCTCGTCGGCATACTCCACCGCTACGACCGGGCAGGAAACCCAGCGGTGAAGGGCAAGGTGGGCCCGCCCGGCCCCTGCGCCCCGCCCCCCTCCCCGGCGCCCCGTCACCGCCCCGGGCTCCTTACCGCGGATGAGCAGCGAGAAGTTGCCGTCGTGGAAGGCAGAAGGCGGGAGCAGAAGGCGGCCGTGGTCGCGAGGCCCGTACACGCGCTGCTCGCCCGCCGAATACATGTCCACGAGTCTGCGAGCCGGGCCGCCGGCGGGGCTGCCGCTGAGGTCCCAGTGGACCACGCGCTGGCGGTCGTGCAGCCGGTCCTGCGTCCACACCATTCTCGGGCTCTGGCAGCGCAGCACGGCCAGGGCGCCCGCTGCCCAGCTCACGGTGGACTCGGACACTACGGAGCTGGCGGCAGGCAGGGACCCCGAGGGCACTGGTGGGGAGGAGGAGTCACTGGGGGAGGGGCAGGACCCAAAGGCAAGGCATAGGGCGGGTCTGGCAAGTCAGGAGGGGGCCTGTTGTGGTTTCCAGGGGAGGGTGGCCACTAACCTGAGGAGAGAAGGACAGCAGAGCCTAGAAGAAGAAGAGAGTCCTACTGGGGAGGGGTTGACCTGAGCCTTTGCATCCAGGTCACCCACCCAGCCTGACCCGACATGGCTCCCTGGGTCCCCTTACGGCACTTGCTGGGCTGGGGGGGTGGGGCATGTTAATGACTCCCTCTTAGCAGGTGGGGATTGTCAGAGAAGGCTAGCAGATGAGATGGGCAAGGGGTCTCCTTTAGCCCCCCATGGTGCAGGCACGTCTCCCACGGCCGCCACCTCATCCCCACAGTCACCTGCCTGGGCCGTGGGACAGCATTCCCCTTTTGGGGGTGAATGGTGGAGGCAGCTCTGGAGTATGTGCTTGTCACCAAAGGCCACCCTCAGGAATGGTGGCTAGTATCACCATCACTGCAGCAAGGCCACCAGAGCCCCAAAGCCTGATGCTCAAGGCTGGTTTTGAGGGCTCCTGCACCTTGGTATACAGTGAGGTACACACACCTGCCAAGGCTATGCCACACAAGCCCTCAAGAGTCCTTACCCCAGCTGGGCACCCTGCCCCGCACCCAAGTCTTACAGCTGGAGCCCCCGCAGCCCCCCTGAAGGGCAGAGGCCTGAGGCTGAGCAGGCTGGACCATCCGCACCCCCATAAGCAAGTTTCTGCTTCAGAGATGGGCTGAGCGCCCAGGACCAGGAGGAATGTGCCGGCTCAGCGGGCCAGCCCAGAAGGCGGGCTCAGGGGGCCTGGGAGCCAAGTAGGGGCTGGAACAGACCCTGTGAGCCTCACTGTTCCCAGGCCCCCTAGATCCCCCGACCTACTCCTCTTCTGACCACTAGGACAAGTGGAAGAGTGAGGTGGGCAAGGGACCCCAGGGAGAGGCACCCCCCACCTCAGCCTCCCTGCCTGTCTTAGCCCTCTTGTTCCTGAATCCGTGTGGCTTCCTGGGTCCTGGGCCCCCCCCCCCCCCCGCATTCTGGTGAGCTGCCATCTTGAGCCCCCCCCAACCCCCGCCCCGCCCCAGCCCCTTCCCAGCAGTGAGGGCGTCCCACTGCTCCACACTCAAGCTCCGACAGGCGGCTTTGCACAGAACACAAAGACCTGGTTGTGCCCCCACTCTGGACCCCCACCCACCCTGCACTCACTGTGTAGAAGCACAAGTTCCCAGAGCAGAACTTGGGTCTGCAGCTCCATGGCGCCTGCCTGGCTCACTGGCCTCGCTTTGTCTCACTTCTGCTCCAACTCTCCAGAAAAACAGCCCGGCCCCCTCCCCCTCCTTAGCCCCCACCATGACATCACAGAGTCCTGGGCGGGGTCAACAGTCTGCAGACCGCCCCCTCTGGCTCCAGCTGGCCCCTAGCCCTCCCGAAATCCTTGGCTGGCCTTTGGGGGGGGTGGGGTAGGAACATGGGCATGGTGCCCAACAACGTGAGGGGAATCAGAGCAGAGACCCTGCCCCTTCTCTGGCCCAGGTCCAGGAGGGGTAGGAGGGTGGAGGGCATGGTCCCAGATGCTGTGGGGGCAGCTGTGACATATGAGGCCCTTGGGGCTGCTGCAGGACTGGGCTCTGGGGTGCACATCACCTCCCTTCCACTCCTGTCGGGGGACCTTGGCCCAAGGTGTGGGCAGGATCCTCCCCGTCTGTGCTTGCTATGGAGCTTGAGGCATTCCTAACAGAAAGGCCTCCAGGGCTGGGACCCCTAAGGAGCCCAGGTTGCCAGACCTACACCTCTTCCAACTATTCCCCTTAGCCTCCTCTGGGGGCTGCATTTCTTCATTTATGAAAGGAAAAGACAGTCACAACACCCCTGGGGGGTGGGGCCAAGGGGGCTCCCTTAGGACAGCATGATGGGCCCTGCTGTTGATCAACATCTTTACCACCCAGGGGAGCCTGCCAGGGCATAAGAGTGGGGACCCTGAGCACTGAGGGGCAGCGTTTGACCAGCCTCTGGCTCGGGCCAGGATCCCCATCTGCCCACCATCCAGGGCAGAGCTTGGTGTCCCTGAAAGCAAATCCTGGCTAAGACACTCCCTGCCCAGAGTGGAGGGAGGAAGGGAGGTATGGGAACCTCCCCAACGGAAGGCACAAATTTGAAGCTCTGGGAAAACTTACAGAGTCACATAAACAAATGCAAAATAACAGATCATACACTGCATACCAAACCCACTCTTTCTAGTTAAGCAAACCTCAAAAAGAAAAAAAAAAAAGCAAACAACTACCAAAACCCACAGTGCGTTTTTTAAACTGCCCATTTGAATAGAATTATGGTCACTGGCCCCAGTCCCTGGTGGGTGGGGATCTCACCCATGAACCCTGTCCTGGTCCCCAATTCCTCAGACCAGCAAGGAACCCAGTCCAACTGGTCTCCCCAGCTCCAGGCAAGGTGGGGAGACTGTCACAGCTGCAGAGGAATGAGGGGTCAGGACAGGGAGCGCCAGCCATGAGGATGTGAGGAACCCCCCGCAATGGACTCATTTCCTCAGCAAGACCCAGGCCCTGGGGGTCAGAGCCCCTTTTCCAAACTGGAATCAGAACTGGTCCTGGTCCCAGCCCCTCCCTGGGCCTTTCATTCTGGAAAAAACAAGCCCTGCCTGGCTGGCTAGGAGGCCTGGCCTCTCCTCCTGTTTTTTTAACTGGTTTATATTAGCTGGTGACCAATCTTCTCTGTGTCCCGCCCATGTCTCTCCATCTCTGTCCTCTGTTCCCGCCTCTGTCTGCTGGGCTGTCTCTCCACAGTGGAGGGAAGATGTCCAGACAGTGCTAGAGGGAGGCAGAAATGGCCCAGCACTGGCCCCTCTGTCTGGAAGGGGACCAGGGTCAGCTCCCAGCCGAGGAGCCAGGAGCCTGTGGGCGCGCCCCCTCTCCCAGCAGGTTCCCTGGCCTTGGGCCCTGTGAGGCCCTCTCCGGTGGAAACTCAGCCCTCAGCTTGGCCCAGATGTGTAAGTCTGAGGGGGCCGCCACTGGGGGGCAGCTGACCCCAGTGAACCACTGGGCAAGAATGGACAGATGTGGTGCAGGGCTGCAACCCCTCTTGTCCCTCTCTGCCTGAGGCCAGCAAAACCAAAATGAGCAGCAAAGGCTGCTGCCCCCACCCCTACTCTTGGCAGTTAATAGCCACAGATGAGAGTAAAGTTAAAGTTTCAGCAGGCCACCTGCCCCTCCCCTGGCCAAGGCCTGAGACCTCCGACTCTTTCCCAAGTGACTGCTGATTGCTCAGTTCCCAGGGTCGCCCAGCATCTCTGTTCCTTGGGAAGAGACCACCAGGACAAAGCCACTGACATCACCATGGTCACACCCTGAGCTCTGGCCAACCCCCTACCAGACCAGAGCCCTGTACCCACCTCTCCTCTTCTAGGAGGTTTGGCTGGACAATGCAGGGGCCAGCCAACCAGCCCCACTAAGAAGCAGGTTCTGGCTCCTGTTCCTGGGGACTCGGACATTCCAGGCAGCCAAGCTCACTGGGAGGAGAAACCACAGGCACTCAGAGATGCCACCAGACACAGACACGTGCTCGTGCCACTGTTCTGTCATTCAACAAATATTTGCTGAGCACCTATTGTGTGCCAAGGAACTGGAAGCTGTTGGAGGGAGGCAGACAGATGGCAGGCCTGCTCTCGGACAAATAAGATCATCTGGAAGAAGTGTTGTCGAGAGACAAAAACGGCAAACGGCAGGGTCTCCCTCCACAGGACTGAGCGGACGGCCTCTGATGGAGTAACACCCACAGGTAAATGTCCAGGCTGGGGCCTGGGGAAGCTGCCTCTCAGATGAGAGCAGAGCTGGGCACATAGGGAGGTCTGAAGGGCTGCAGTCAGGCTCTCTTGCTGATAGGGTGCTTGGAGGGACTGAGGGAGGACTGAGGGACTGTGGTCTGGGGACGCAGGCATGTGAGGTGACTCAGAGCCAGTAGGGCCTACACGAGCACACAAGGGACACAGCCCACCAAGGGCCAGGTGGGCTGCAGGACTGTCAGGTGCGGTCGAAGCACACTCTGTGTCCTCCCCTTGAGTGCGGGCAGGGCGCTGTAACAACCAAAGGATGAGGGGCTGGGATGTCACTGTCTGATAGAGTCTCCATCGTGCTGCCTGGAGTCAACTTCTCCAGCTGGCCATTCTGTGAAAGAGCCCTTGGAGGGAACATGTGGGCAGCCCCCAGCCAACAGTCAAGAAGAAACTGGACCTCAGTCCGATAACAGCAAGGACCTGAATTCTGCTGCCCCCCAGGATGGCGTGGAAGGGGACTGGTGCCTCGGGTCCAGACGCAGCACCGGCAGACACTCATTTCATCTGGGAGGCCCTGAGGGGAGGCTCCTGTCTAGGTGTCTGACCCAGGGCAGCTCTGTAATAATAAAAGTGTTGGGGGATCCCTGGGTGGCTCAGGGGATCCCTGGGTGGCTCAGCGGTTTGGCGCATGCCTTTGGCCCAGGGCGTGATCCTGGAGACACGGGATCGAGTCCCGCATCGGGCTCCCGGCATGGAGCCTGCTTCTCCTTCTGCCTGTGTCTCTGCCTCTCTTTCTCTCTCTGTGTCTATCATGAATAAATAAATAAAATATTTTAAAAAAATAATAAAATAAAATAAAATAAAGTGTTGCATTAAGCTGCTCAATGTGTGGTACAGCAATAGAAGACAAATGCAAGTGTCTCTGGAACAGAGCAAGGCCAGGCTTAAACCTGCAAAAGGCACAAGTTTCACAAGGAGAAGGGACTAGTTTGTCAGTTTGAGACTGGTGGCTGGCAGCAGGGCTGAGGCTGCCCAAGTTCCTTGGGAAGCGCATGGATCATCAGTCACGTGAGGCACTTCCAATTTCACTGACAGTGTCTGCTGGTTCTGACCTGTTCTTGGAGGGGCCACCTTCTCCTGGAGGCTCGCCACCCTGCAGCATTTCACACCATGAGGCAAGAACTGCGCCCATTCTGGGTCAGAAGAGTTGAGTGTGTCCCTCAGGAGAGCTGTGGGCTGGGAGGGTGAGGACTTCAGGGCGACGACCTGGCAGGACAGGCACCCAGCATGCTCAGTTGGTGGAGCGTGTGGTTCTCCATCTCAGAGTTGTGAGTTTGAGCCTCAGGCTGGGTATATCAATGACCTAAAATCTTGAGGGCACCTGGGTGGCTCAGGCGGTGAGGTACCCAACTCTCGATTTCAGTTCAGGTTGTGATCTCAGGGAAGAGGGCTCTGTGCTCAGCTGCCCCACCCCACTTGTGTGCTAGCTCTCTTTCAAAAAAAAAAAATACAGATAAGAATATGGAAATGTAGATACATTGCCTCATGGACCAGCAAAACTTTTCATCCCGGGAAAATGTCAAGCAAACAAGACCAAAGATTTGACTAGTCAGAGTCAGCCTCTCATCAGTGGTTTCCTGCCGCAGCACCCGACCAAGGGCCACCCTTGGTCAGGTGCTCCTCCGCCTAGCTGCTCCCATCTGTGGGTGCACAGCAAGCCAGCCTGCCAAGGCACTGGAGCCCACCTCATAGACATTCTTGAGCTGGAACCTGGCCCCAAGCTGCAGGGGGTATGTCAGTGTTTTAACCTCTCCTTTGATGCCAAAATCACTTCCTCATTGTCCTCACAGATCCATCAGTTTTCAAGTCAGGAGCCAAAAACCATCAGTTTTGTTCTAAGGGCCATCACACGCAGTGCCTCTACTGGGGGGGGGGGGGTGACCTCCATGGCCACCACATTTCTAGCGAGTTGGTTAGGGGACGGCCTTTGCTTCTGAAAGGCCGGGGCAGATGACCTGTGGAACAGCCACCAGCCCAGCCTCCTGAGAGGACCCAGAGCACTGCATCCACATGAGGTAGCTTCCCGGGTCCACGGAGGGAAGTTCACTTTACCGACCTCTCCGTTGGTGACAGATTTGGTTTATTCAGTTAGGTCCTGTTAGAAAAGAGACAGGCCTGCAGTGGTTGTACGACGTGCCAGCTGTCAGGTTGCTAACCCTCCACTGCACCAGCCTCACAACGGGTGGTGCCCTTGGGCCTGGGACTTCTCCGAGCATCTCCACTTTACAGCAAGCATGGGTGTGAGCTCCCCCAGCAGGAACACACAGCACGAAGGGGTTCTCCTGTGTGTCTGGATGGGCTGGGTGGGTCAGCGGTGTCTTCCCATGACACAAGGTCCCTCGGCCATCTCGAAGCCTTGACCTGGCCATTGTAATCTTTCTGCAGCACTGTCCACAGGGACACCAACCCTGCTTCACCCTGCAATGCACCTTGGGCAGTGCAGCTGGGAGGGTTCCCACTGCCTTGCATGCCCA